AATACCCGCCAACTATGAGCCCAATGAAACTTCAATACTTTTTTGCAGGTATTCTCCCTCAAAATAGCTTATAATCCTCACAGCTTGACTTGAAATTATTACCAAAAGAATCGCCACATTTTTCCACATAGGATAGGCGATAAAGTGACTGAAAATATCCTATGGGCCAAATCGGCTTCTTATGCGCCCCTGTCCTTTCTAGGACTCAGTTTTTAATTTATTTTACTTTTGTATATCATTTTTAATACCCATGAAGTTTATTTCAATCTAATTTTTTTCATATGAATATTAATAAATATGAACATTTATTCAAGAATTAATCAAGAATTATACTCATCACTTAATTTAGTTTTTATTCAACACTTTAAGTATATCATATACTTCGTTAGTCTGCATATGTACCTAGTTATTTTGTCACTTGAACTTGTTTTAAGAGTATTTAGTAAAGTGTGAGTCAATATTCATTTCGTGAAAATAAAAAAACAACAACTTTCTCATGATACATTGTAAGAAAAGGTGAAGAATAATAAACCCTTATTATCAATTGATTGCCATGAGATAGACTCTTTGTAGGTTTATGAGCGTAATCAGTCCTACTGTAAACCTTGTTTCTTTTCATAAACCTTGCCAAAAGTATCTGGCCTGTTGCAAATTGATATACCTTTGTCCTTTCTTCTGTGTTCATAAACTTTTGTTGTGTATATGAATGGAATAAACTCTTAGGCGAATGGTTTACTGTTTTTCACCATTTTTAGTGTACTCTTCTTCTAATAATACACGAGAAATATGTTAAAACCACTACAGACAGAAGAACTTTGAGCTTCTCAATTTAGTAAGCGCTTGATTGCTTCGTTCGAAATAGTGATAGTTATATGAAATAGGAAGTTTGATGAGTCACTTTCTATGTAAATCGTTATCTCTTGCTTGATCTATAATGCTAAGAAAAAAGTACATCTACGCAGCACTGATCAAAAGTCTCCGTCCTATTTGGACTTTATCAAATGAAGCAGGAAAGTGAAATTTTTTTATTGATTATAATCGATAAGAAGAACTGTAATCTATCAAGAAATCTGACTCTAGTCGATTAGTATCTATACTTTTTCTCACAACAGTCAAGTCAAAAATCCTCATATAGTTAATTTCAGCCAGATTTTGATCGATTTTTTTATACTTTTTTACTAGTTTGTAAGCTATAGAATAAAATACAAACAAATAAAAACTTTCACATGTGAAACAGGCAGAGAAAAGCGACTAAAATAAGATTTTTTTTCGTTTTTTTTACATGGATATTGTCGGTCCTACTTCTATACTACTTATCACCTGCTAATTAACTTTACTCTGTCGTTACTTGTCGATTTATTTTAATCATAAACATCGAAGATCAGCGCGCTTTTCTCGAGACTCGGATGTGATACTCGATTTTTTTTTGATTGGTCATCTTTAGAAAGTGTGAATTTGTCACCAAGTTAGAGTCTATCAAATAAAGTAAAGTTGAAACTGTTTTATAAAGTGTTGCATATTGAGGGTGGAGTGTGGGCATAAAACTTCTCTGCTCCTACATCCTCACCCATACTCACTTCCTCGGAATATTTTGCATAATTGTCACCATTTTTTGTGAACTTAAGACCTTCATTATCGTTTATCTTGAATAGAACTAAAGCGGTTGATCGAGAAAAAAAAACAACGAATAAAATAATCTGTAATTTATAAATATTAGAGGTTTGATTAGATTGAATTTCGATAAATATTACTAAAAAATACGAGAGAAAAATAATTAAAACAAATATTTATCCATCAAGGCTCTGCGGTGAATTGTTTTATTATGTTTGAGAACATAGATCGTCGGACGTGAATGACAGTCTGATAAAGAGACAACAAGAAAAATGTATTTACAATCATGACTTTGTTTCTATTCAAAAACAAAGTCATGTTTCAATATTCTTATTCGTATGAGTTTCATACGAAAAAAAACACCTATGTCAATATTCAACAGTTCTTATTTTTATCGTTCTGATAGTTTTATTTTTTATTGTTATTAATTTCAGCATTTTTTACGGCTCGAAACAGTCTTCCTTTCCTTTTACTGCTTTTTACTTTCTTCAAGAATGCAGCCGAAATAAAGACGTCTGATATTTTCATTGCTAGACTGTTGTCGCTCATCAAAATATTTTACAATGTCTTTTTAAAAGTACAACAAATAATCTTCTGATGTCTGTGATTTATTCTACATTATGCAATCTATTCTTGATTTTGATCTTAGTAAGACATTATCTTACTGTAATAAGATGTTGATTACAAAAGAAAAATATTTCATGTTCAGATTCTAACAAATATCAATGGAAAAATAACAGAATCATTACAAAACTCGACAAATTTACGTTCTGCAGGTACTGAAACAACGATTTTTCTCATAGATCTTACATCTAATTCAATTAAAACAGTCAGTAATTGTAAATAAACTTTGAAGTAGTATTGAGATGTTTTCCATAGTTCTGAGTAGGATTATTACTAATTGAAAACATATTCGATTTTTATATTTTAATTAGGTGAAGTGTGTAGCACAAATATGGCAAATCGAATCAGTGTCACATTTCGTACATCAACTTCATTTACAGCTCTTATTACTTATAATTGTTCTTTGACATATATATATGGTTTATCTGTATTTTTCAATGAAACACAAGGAATTTATTGTTCTGTAAGTGAATATAATTCAAACAATGGGATTGTGAGTGTGACATGTAACAATATTCAAAACAATGCTGGTCGAGCTTGGACATTCAGTTTGATTCAAGAGTTTGTTTATAGTCAAGTTATTCTTAATGAAACATTCACTGTTACTTTAGAACCGTTATCTCTTAATATATTTACATATATCGCAATAACTATTAATGAAGATCAAAGAGCAGCAACGGTTTTTATAAATAATTGTCTTAATATATCTCATAGAAAATATCTTGTTTTTCGTTGTAATGAATTTGATCTATTAAATAATACTCTTTCAAATAACTGTACTTATATATGTTATAATCTTGAACCAGGTTCAATTTATTTTGCATCATTAGTTCGATTACCTATTCGAATAGTAGATAAAACAGAAGATGAATATGATAATACATTTCCAGAAGAAATTCTCAATCGAACTTACAAAACAAGTAACAAAAAGTGTTATTTGGATTTTCTCTTGTATTTATTATTATTTTAGGTCTTGATAAAGTAACAAATTCAATCTTCGATGAAGATTCAATAAATAAGAATAAAATGAATATTTATTTTAATCGTCCACGTGGATATTATCAACAAATTCAAATTACTTGTAATGGATTAGATCAATGTTGTTTATATAATAATACAGATTGGGCGATTACAATTGGAAATTGTTCTTATTGTAATACCATTTCAATATTTTCAATTGTACGAGGAATTACATACAAATGTCAAGCAAAGACTATGAAAGAGAATTTCGATGATAGAATATCTGATGAATATAATTTCACTAGTGGTTAAGTGACCGGAAATCTTTGATAAAATTTTTCTTCAATATTTAAATAATGTATTTCTTTTTTTTTTTTTAGGTCTTGAACCCATATTATATAATGGATTGAATTATTTTAACGCAAGTGCTATTAATTTGAATGTGATTTCGCAAAGTGATTTTAATTCTATTGAGTTAATATGTAATGTTGATAATGATCAAACATATCCATGTTCGAATTCAACAGCAGTAACAGATTATTGTTCAACATTTTTATATTTTGTTGGTATTCGCGGATGTAATTATAGATGCTATTTTGTAACAAAAAAATATAATTATGATGATAAACGTTCAAATGAATCCAGATTGATATTTTGTAAGTATATTTATTTAAAATAATAATTTGTCAATGATAATTTAATTTAGTTCCTCCGAAGCCAAACTTATTTGAGTATGGAAAAGGATCACGATGGATATTTCTCCATTGGGCAGTAAATGAATTAGCATATATTCAATCATTTGATTTATTTATAAATCAAACTCAAATTAGCAATATTAATAAATCAATATTTTCGTATAATTGTACTGATCTATTGCCTAATAGAAAGTGAATAGATTTTTATTTTTAAAGATTTTTTCTTTTGAAAATATTTGTTTTTATTTAGTTATGAATTATACATTCGACTCAATTCAAATTATCAAGTTTTATCTGATCGAATTCGTGTAGCAACACTCGAAGAAGGTAAAAATAATTTATTTAATATTTTTTCTTTTTATGTTACGTTTAGTCATTACAGCATCACAAAAACCAACTAATAACGAAATTGAGTCAAAAATCATTCTAAATAATACTGATGATGAATCAACAAGTGAACAACATGTAATTAAGATTGACCGATCATTATTTTCTAATGAATATGGTATTGTTCGGCGTTATGTTATCTACGTACGTCAAAGTAAAAAATAATTTATCTTTTCATTTTACAATCAAAATAAAAATATTTCTCTCGGAATTTTATAGATCAAAACAAGATTGAAACTAGTCCAGATATTATTGGAACATATGATGAAGCTTTGCAAAATTCTTCAATAGATTATTTAGCTCAAATTATTTCTGTTTACCCATTGATAAACAAATGTATATATTAATCTAAACGATATATTAGAATTTTTCTGTATTTATTTTTTCAGTTAGTACAGTTCAAGATTATGATAACAAAATTCGTATAATAATTGGTACTGAAACACGGTGTTTGCAGAGTTATGATTCTTCTATTCCATGTAATGGCAAACTTAAATCAGATAGGATTTATAAGTAAGTTTATTCATCTTTTTATTTGATATTTTGTTAAAAAATAATTATTCTTAGAATTATTGTTGGTGGTTGTACAAGTACTGATTGTACTTATGCACTTTCACAATCATTTCAAACAAAAAGTTAGTAAGAAACTTTATTAATTTATGATGAAATATTAGTATTATTAGGTGAAAATAACATATTCAATGAAGATAAATCTAGATCATTATCGAAAGCATGGGTTGCTGTATTTCCTATTGTAGCTGTTTTGATTCCTAGTATTGGTTTAATGATATGGAAACGAAAAGGATTAAAAAGATGTTGTTTTAAAAAACAAAAAGAGTAAAATATTATTTATTTATTTTCAAATGTATCATTGTTTCTCTTTTCAGAGAAGATAACAATCTAACAACCGTTGATTTACAACCGTAAGTAAATAAATATTTTATTTAAAAGGGGATCATCTTTTTTTAAAGTCAAATATTTTATTTAATAGCGTAGTATCAACATCAGATGTTTATAATTTTCAAGAAATTAAGTTAGATATGAATTAGATTTAAATTCTCTTCGAATATTATTATTCATATTTTCAGACCGAAATCTTTAATTGAATATATTAATATAACAGATGAAGATAAAATAGTTATAAATGATGAATTTCAAGTTAGTTACTGTTTGTTTTACTTGTCTAGAAGAAACAAAAAAAAAACAATTGATTATTCTATTTTCTGATAGATGTTAACAAATTTAGCTCCACAATCGAATCAATCAAAACGTTCTTCACCTTTTGACCGATATCAGGATATTACAAGTCGAGGTCCATGTATGTAAATTATCTTTTTAGAAAATTCTACAAATATATATATTTGTTCAAAGGGGAAGAAACTGCTGTTCATTTAACTGATAATCATCGTAAACATGATTATATTAATGCAAATAAAATTCGAGTAATATTTTAACGATTTCTAATAATTACAAAAGAAAAAAATAACATAGACTGTTAATGTTTTTTATAGGGTGTAAATAGTCTTAAACAATATATTGCTTGTCAAAGTCCATTAAAAAATACATGTGGAGATTTTTGGGATATGATTATTCAATATAGAATAACAAAAATTGTTATGTTAAATCAGTTTGATCAAACAAATATACAAGATCCTTCCGCAACAGTAATATTTACTTACAATGGCTAAAAAAATCATTCAATAAGGTTTATTTTTTCAAATTCATTTTTACTAAAGAATCCGAATAATGGAAAAGTATTAGAATAACTATCGACTTCTCTTTCTCTTCTATCTCAAAGAGTACCGAAAGAAAACTTATCTCATACACTCATAAAGAAAATGATAGAAACACTATCAAAATGAGCTCGCATTTTTCATCTAATGCAGCATCACAGTAACAAAAAAATATCAAACTCTATATCTCTAGGAAGTAGTATACGACTGTGTCTGTTTGACTTGGATTGATTTAGCAAATAAATCGTATGAAACAACATTTGGTTATTTTTGAAAATAAGATATTCTAAGAACAAGAATTCATAACATATATTGAATAAATATTTGAAAATATTGACAAACAAAATTTTTTATAAAGGAATGATCATCCAGGGAAACTATTGTGATATTAGTCAGCATAAATAGGTTTGAAATACTTTAAAACAATAAAGCTCAAGCACATAAACTCAGAAAAGACTCTTAGGGAAATTGTACCAAATGATACTTTATGGTTATGATGTTATTTTAGTCGATAAAAAATTATTCATATTACACGGGAGTAATATTACGATAAATCAATATTTTTACTCTGATAATCCAAGTACAAATCCTGTTGATATTAAATTCAAAAAAACAAAATGAAATGAAATTCGAAGCAAAAATCATGACTATGCCATTTTGCTTATGAATGTATAATAAAATAAAATTATACAGAAAACAAACTTATCGAAATCTCTGAAGGCGTTTTTCTACCATTTTCTCTAAGAAAATACGAAGATATCTATACCACTTCAGGTCTAAAATTTTCAGAGCCGGATCCAATCCGATGGGTTTTAAAATCTTGTTGAATAATATTTTTAGTCATTGTATATATGAAAAAAAAAGAAATTATTGATTTGTTTTTTGTTAATAATAGACTCAATGTTATCCTTATATTCCAATGAATAAAGATGAAACATTAGAATTTAATAAAATTCAAATTCAAGTTATTAATATTGAATATTATCTTGATAATCAACTTGAAATTCGTCGTTTACTTGTTCAAAAAGTAAAAAAGAAACATTTAAATATTCAAGATTTTAATACAAAAAACAATAATTTTTATTTAAGAATAAAAAACAATATAATATTATTCATTTCTTTTTTACCAATTGGTCAAAACATGGTACTGTCGATTGTCGAACTCTAATTGATTTAATTGAAATAGTTAATCAATATGACCAAGTATCAATTAGTTTATCATCACCTATTGTTGTTCATTGCAGGTATCAAAGATTTTAGATTTATATCAAATACGATACACATTTTTCATATTTATACATGTTGTCTTTTTATAAAATTAGAGCACGATATTAGACTAGAAAGAATTCTCTTAAAAGGAATTTAATTTAATTTTTTTTTAGTGAATTTAAAATTTTTGATAAGTTACACATAACAATTACGAAATTTTCTCTAAAGATAAATCTTATGACGATCAGAAAATTTTTGTTTAAGAAAATATTTCATTTCCACGATATTAAAAATATTCAGCAAACGAAGTACCACTAACAATCAATATCTCAAAAACAAAATGTTCTTTTAAAGCGAAAGTTCTCAAACTTTCTACTTTCAAGTCAAAATACGTTAAGTCATCGGATGTGGCATCACATTTTTATAACTAGCAATGAGAGCTGACCTATAATCTAATAAAGATGAAGCAGATGCAGTCATAGTGATCGACTTATAGTTGTATAATAGTTGTTTATCTGACTATTTCACTTAAACTCTATCAGCTATCATTTATCATTATTACTATTAGTAGTTACAGATAGCAAAATGAGCAAAACAATAATAAACTACAGACGTCTAAAGTCAGCGTTTACTAAATACATCACTTTTTTTTCCTCGATATTTTTCTTTTTGGTTTGTCCATTGAAAAACGAGTACATTGGTATACGAATCTATATTTTGAGTTTAAAAACAGCATGTTGATAGAAATTCATATTTTTTATTAAATTTTTATCCAGTTCGGGTACTGGTCGAACAGGAACTTATATTGCCGTTGATATTATAACTCGTTTACTTGATCGATCTGATGAACAATTAACAAGAATGAAACTTGATGTAATGGGAATAGTTAATCAATTAAAACATGATAGAACAAAAATGGTGCAAACAGAAGTATGTTTTTGTATGTGATATTAAATTTCATATTTTTAATAATATTTTTCTAGAAACAATATTTATTGATTCATCATTGTGTAGAAGAATATTTAAGAAAAACAAATCGATTAGATTTAAGTAAGAAAATTTTATTCAAATTTTATTTTGAAGAATTTTTTGTTTGTTCTCTTTTTAGTAATAAATGAATTCAATAATTATCAAACAATTCCTGATTCATTACCAAAATTTCGTGAAAGTCGTTATATACATTTATCTGATTCAAAACATAATTCAAAAGTGAATTCATCATCAATAATTGATGCTGTAGAAGATGAAGAAATGAAAAAAGATATATCTAAGAGAATTGAAAATGGACAAGAATTAATAAATGAACATGAATATGATTATGTTCAACCAGATGATAGTTATTTAAATAATCAATGAATACAAATATAATTAATAATAAATCAATAGAGAATTATTTTTGATTAGATTGAAGAAAAAACTTCATTTAATTTTTTAATCAAATTTTTTTTATCATTGTAAAGTTAAGAATTTTTCTAAAATTTAATAAAGATTTTTTTTTTAATTCTTGAGTGGGTTGTAAAATTATATATTGATTGCACTCATTTGACTTTTTTTGTGACAAAGTCAAATAAAATGACATATACTTTGAATAACTAAACAATTTTCCAATACTAAAATTTCATATGAATGATGAATAAATTTCTATTTGACTTGTAAAAATATGTTTATTGTCAAAGATTTATAATATTTTTATTTGAACTATTCATTATCATAGGATCCACTCAAAAACGAAAAAAGAAAACGATTGTCAAAGTTTGAACTGATATCTATTTTATGTTTGCATAAGGAGTCAAGTGTGTCGTAATGCAGTTATATGCTATTTTCGACTGCTATCAACTTCACCTAATTTTTTTTATATATTAATAGTAGTTTCTTTCTATATTGTCACATGTGTCAAGGGCAAACGTACACATAATAAGAAAACAAAAGATTTATTTAAGGAAAATATATTTTATTCTAACAATTTTTATTTGTTATTATTTCCAGTGGAGATGGATGATTCACATAGATTTTTTATACATCGAACATGTTCATAGTTCAAATTACTTACAAACATTCATATGCCAAACGTGAGTCAAATTGTTTGTGTTTGTCAATACGATATATAAATAAGAGATACACAAAGTCAGCTTTGTTCTTCTTAGCTTGCTTCAGAAATATTTTCTTCTTTTTCCATAGCCTCAATTGCACTTTTTTCTTATCGTGACCCTACTCTATCCTGCACAGCTTGAATATAAATAAACAATTGTCATATCATTGATTACTTTTGATAGAGTGTGAGAAAACAAAAGTGTCACTATGATGTGTCATAATGATGAGAAGACTATTAATTGATATTGAAGATACAAGCAAAAACAGTGAAGCCGGGGACATAAACATCGTCGATTTAGCTTCAATTATTTATAACGGTAACTTTTTGAACAAGTTCTTACTACTTGAATATATGAAAAAATCTTGGTTCTTTCAATTCTCGCATAATTTAGGTTATGCAATTTATTCATTAGGTAAATCTTATCTATGAGGAAATTTTCAGCATGAACCATTTGCAAATAGAAAATGCACGAAGTGAATATTTTTGTTCTTTGTTTTTTTTGTGTCACGTCGCTAAAACTAACTTTTCAATAATGACTTGACAGAACTACGGTCTATAGGATTAAGTTTTTCACGATATCTGCATAGAGTAACTCAACATACATCTATTACATAAAAAAATATTTAAAAGAGATATCCGAGTTTGGACAAATGTCATAGACCTACTATGTTCTAACAAAACATGTTGAAAGCCTAACTTTTTCATTCATACATAGAGCAAGGTAAGTATTTTCATGCTTTTTCTTGTTTTAACTAGCATGACGTGGACTAAAAAAAGAAGATAATGAGATCAAACTTTTTCGTGTCCCGAATTTCATTCACTGAGAAGTAGCAGACTGCACAATGTAGAGTAGCTGATTTATTGGCTTTTACTCGCTTAGTTACTATGACAATTTTGTGTTTTTTCCCCTTCTTCTTCTTGACATATAAGCCATGATTCAAGCCATCCACTCGTTGTCTACAACTAATCATCATTTCATAATAAGAAAAAGTTCGTCGAGATTGTGAGAATATGCCTAGTGATCTTCTAAAATCCGTTTTTCATAAACTTGATTGCATTTGTGGGTTATAAAAATGTAGAAAACGATAATCAACAGCTGAGAGTTTCCTTATATGGAACTTGTTAGTTCAGATTCATGATCTTCCAACTTGTCAGCGTTCTAACATTTTTTGAGCCCATGCAGTCAGCCACTTTTTCCATTCGGATTTTACACATATGACAGTCTAGTCCTTTATCTGTCGACTGTCTCGTCGAACAGAACGAAAAATACATTATTTTGAGTTCATAAATGGTGGAACAAAAATTATGTACAAAATTGCACTTGTCGTCAATTTTGAAGTAATTGCAGACTCAAGTAACTCAAAAGGATTGCATCTATTTGATTTAAACTATTTTCCAATAGCAGTTTATATAGTCATTCAAAATTTATATTACACTAGAAAACATTAAAACAAACACATTTAATTTTGATGTCTTAAACTAATCTATAAATTTTTATTTTGAGTATGGGTGAAAAAGTTAGACTTCTAGCATTTTCCGGTCGTACATAGGCAGACCTCGACATTTGTGTGAATACTTGTACATTATGTAAATAAAATATCTTTTCTGTCAATATAACTGCTCCTATATGTAATATGATTTAAAAAACTAAAGTTTCAATCAAGTTTAATTAATAAATAATGAAAAATCGAAGTATAACTTTGTGTTTTTATCATCATTTTAGATTTTTACCAAGAAAACAATTTGATTTTCAATAACAACTTACAAAATCATTGAAACAGTATTAATACATTACAAAAGGTTACATATAAACATCGACAAAATATACACTTAAATCTCGATTTTTCTCATCATTTAAGAAATACAATATTAAAATAAAACATTGACTATTAATGAAAAAAAGCGCACAAAGTAACATTTGATGAATAACGATTAAATAAAAGTAAGTCTTTATGATAGACAAAAGTTGATTTATTAATAATTCGAATTATTTTTCATCTAGTTGTTAAATCGATTATTGAAAATATTTTGATATGATTAAACAAAGTGATTCTGATCATCTCGAATTTAATAATGACAATTGAATATATTCTTATTCTCGTCTAATAGAAATACATGAATATTGAAGTATAAACAAGTTCTTCCTTATAATTCATAGTATAAAAATCTTGGTACAAACTAAGGACTACGACAAAATCACTATTTTTCTTTGTAGAAATAGCGAAAAATCCTGATTCTAGTCAGTTGAATTTTATAGCCAAAAAATCAACGAATATTAATGTTATTTTCGCACTAAAAAATAGAACAATGCTAATAAATGTTCATATTGATTAGAAATTTATTGAATTTTTATTTTTGTCTAACGAGGCAGCATTCCCAAGTGATTTGCTCTGTTTTGATTCATTCATATCTCATTCGATAGAGTATATTGAGATAAGAAAAAAAACTAAAAGGATTCGCGCCGATGGCCTAGTAGTGAAGAGTTACGACCACTTTACTGAAATTTTTACTGTGAGACAGGCATTTCGAAAAACACCAAAATGAAGAATTTTGAACTGAAATTATATCTATAGATAGATTTAATAGTGATTATATAGTTCTGAAAGTTTCAACGAAAGCAAACATGTTTTTCTCGAGTTATTCAATTTTTAAAAAAAACAGCTGGTTACCATAGAAGGGCACAATAATCCAGTTTACTTGGACATTGAATATCTTGAGAAAGACACGTTTGCTTTCGTTGAAACTTTCAGAACTATATAATGACTATTAAATCTATCTATAGATAGAATTTCAGTTCGAAATTCTTCATTTTGGTGTTTTTCGAAATGCCTGTCTCACAGTAAAAATTTCAGTAAAGTGGTCGTAACTCTTCACTACTAGGCCATCGGCACGAATCCTTTTAGTTTTTTTCTTATCTCAATATACTTTATCGAATGAGGTATGAATGAATCAAAACAGAACAAATCACTTGGGAATGTTCCCTCGTAAGGTAAAAAGTATACGAGTTGTATCTCGGATGAGTTTTATTTCAATAAAATTATTTATTTTCACATATTCATTATTTTCAATGCTAAATTTTAATTATTAATCCATTAAGTTTTGGTAGATGAAACAAATTCTATGTTTTAGAAAAAATTCAAATAAGACTTGTGTTTTATTCCATAATATCATTGAAATTTTTCTTTTCTTTTTCTTTTATCATTAGAGATTTCGGGAAATATTTTTCAGAAGATTTCTTTTTTTTTTTCTATAGTACATGTTTGAAGAAGAATATACACACAAAAAAAAAATCTTTCTTCCTTCTTTCTGTTATCATATATACACACGCACATATTTGACCTTAGTTAACCTTTTCTTGAAATCACGTGTCACACGTGTTCCAATTTATTGATAATTAGCTGGCGATATGGCGGTCAATTGTCAAAATCCACAGAACCAGTTCACTTATCATAATCCGGTTCATAATTCCAGTAATGATTCAACAGCTCAAATGGTTAGTAATTCGTTAAATTTAGTCAATGATTATGTCTATGATCCAAATACGCATATACATTATCATGATAACAAAAATTCTTCACAAAATAATATTTAAGCAGCGTCATCTCTTAATACTATTCAATCTATTGATTCACCTGCTAGGACCATCAGACGAGTACATTCCGAAGATCTTGATGAAGATTTTACAACAGTGACGTATAAGAAAAAAAAGAAAAATTTTATTAATAATCAGATGTTCAGTAAGAATCAATCGAACCAGATGCACCAACATTCAGTATCAGTTATCAACAGCAACAGCAATATGCAACCTGCACATCATCCATACAACCACCGTATTGTAACTAATTCTAATTTGATTCGCCAAAAACCAACACAAGATTCTCAACAACATCCTGATATTTCCATTGCTGCGACACGATATGCTCAAACTAGATTTCCTTTTTCACCTTTCATAATTCGCTTCTCAACTGGAAATGTCAAAGACAAGCAAGCTGCCGAAGAAATTTCCTTATTCTTCAAAAATCAATATCAAATTGATATTTTATTTTCTAATTATAGAACATCTACTTCCAAATGCTCTCTAAATGAATATGATATTTTGCTGTTTGTCAAAGATGCTAATTCATTTACAAGTTTGTTAGATTAGTCGAAATGGCCACCACAAATTGGATCTCAATATTTTACATTTCTTTCACCACCTTCTAGTCCCCCTCAATTAGCATTGATTATAAAAAATGTGGATTTTCATACTGACATGAATGATTTCATTGTGGATTTAAAAGCAAAATTTCCTGAAATCAAAAATGTTATTAGATTGAAAAACAAATTCCAACAAGATATTAAAATTGTTAAAATTGAATTAGTTTCAACATTAACACGTGATCAGATTTTAGCAATGGGCAAAATTAATATTAACTTTAGATCCTATGATGTAGAAGAATACATTTCTCCTGCTAGAGTTCTCATCTGTAGCAAGTGTTGTGGTATTGGTCACTTTACGCGCCAATGTACCCAACACATTGAAACATGTAAAACCTGTGGACAATCTTTCCCGGATTTAAAACAACATCTATGCTCTAATCAACCCGTTTGCATTCACTGCGGGGGTGAGCATCGTTCTAATGTAGCTAGCTGTCCAGTAGTGAAACAGTTTCGTGCTGCATTAACTAAAAAACTACTCACCACAAATTATAATGCAACATCAACATTAACATATAATTGTTTTAAATACGATCCAGTTCATTTTTCTCAATTAAACCCTTCGCAAAATTTATCAATTATTGGCTCAAACCAAAAAATTCTATCGAAACTTGAGGAGCTTGTCAAAAACATGGAAAAAGCGAACGCTAATATTTCTAAATTAACGTTATGTAATGATGAATTTGAGAAATTTATCAATGAAAAAATTGAAAGTGATAAAATTATTCAACAGGATATTAATGTATTAAAAAATAATGATAAAACGTTAGAAGCTAATCAAGTTCAACATGAATTAAAATTAAAGACACGAAAATATTTTAGTTAAATTATTTTTACCTATGATTGATGAAATGTCTAAAGCTATTCAAATATTTAATTATGATCTGCATGGTCGCTCCCTTGATCCGAGTCTTAAGACAAATTTTGAAATTATTCGGGCAAAAGTGAAATTCGCCTTAGAAGGTAAAGACTATTCATGACTCTTTCGCCTTTTGCGGTTCCCTTTTTCTCCTGTACCTCTCAAACATTATTCTCTAATAGAGATATATTTTTATGTAACGCGCGTTCATGTCTTTCTGATTTTGATTTTTCTCTTCTCATTGAAATTCTTTGTGAGTGGAAAAGTAGCCCCTTATTAGCTTTGTGTTTGTCTAAATGGAAGTGTTATCTTCCTAGAGAATCGTCTGTGGAAAATTCTCTTCATATTTTATCTTTTAATGTGCGTGGTCTTGATTTACGTTTTCAAGAAGTTGCATTACTTACTTCTTCCTTCCATTTTGATGTACTTATTTTTCTCGAAACAGATCTATTGGACTTGTCCTTCTGCAGTCAAATCTTCTCGAATTTTAATATGTATTATCAGAAAAGTGAAAATAGCGACGGTGGAGTGCTGTTGATGATTAAGAGGACAGTTAAATCGGAGAGAATCTCTTGTTCCCTTCCAAATATTTGTGTTGTCGATATTTCTACTGATAAGGATAAATTGAGGATCATTGGAGTCTATGCCTTGGAAAGTCGGAGTTGGAAATGGAATGATATATCACAATTTATTAAGTCGAAATGCGCGGTTTACGGTGATGTTAACATCGATTTGAAGAAAGATCAGTCCAAAGCTGAAATGCTATTAACCTGGGCTGACGCCCATTTCTTAGCACTCTTCACACCTGATTCATCTACTTCTCTAAGATCAGATCGTATAATTGATTATGCATTTTGTAGTGGATATACCATTTATATTCAACCATATAGATTCATTGGAAAGTCTTTTTTTTCTTTTCTGATTGCGTTTACAGCTTCTGGGAAAGTAGATGGAGCCTTACCAACCTCGATGATGTCTACAATGATTATATTACCTTTCTCTCTCTTCTCATTGTCCGGTGTACTAAATATTTTCCCCTCAAAAAATATAGAATAGCAATCCCAAAAAAATTAAGAGCATTTCTATCTTATATTCGTGCTCTCTCATTTAGACAAATCAGATCACGCGATCCGGTCCTAAAGGATATTTGTCCGAGATCTCAGAAAAATAGCTAAGAAAGAATTAAAAAGCTTCGTCTATTCTCAGCTAAATGCCACATTAGGAATGCGTCACACCTCCTCTCCTAGTTCAGTTTCCTTTTGGTCGAAAACTAAGAGATTCTTTAAACCACCCTCATCGACCCTAAGTAGGTTTATTCTACCAAATGGCAATGTCATCAAAGACCCAATTGGTATGTCTAATACAGCTGCAGATTTTTATGAGAAATTTTTCAAAAAAATGGAAAATATATATAGACCTCATCCTTATACCGATGCACCCTGGTCCGAATGGGAAAATTATGAAAAAACAATTCCACTTGTATACCTGGAAGAAGTTCTTGAAATTGTTGATACTAAAAATAAAAAGAAATCCTGCGATGCCCATGGACTATGTAACTTTATGTTTAACTTTTTGCCGATCACCTATTGGTCTCTGTTATTAAAAACTTTCAACTGGTCCTTTTCTGAAGCCCGGCTACCAGTAGGGTGGAAGGATATTAGGATGCTTCTGCTTGCCAAAAAAGAATCGTTTTGCACTCCAACATCAACAAGACCTATCTCATTATTAGATATTTTTTTGAAAATCGATGAAAAACTTTTCTTAACTAGATTTCGTGATGTTATTCGTAAACGGACCTTCTTCCAGACACTCAGTCAGGCTTTCGTGAAGAATTTCGCCTACAAACCAGAGTATTATTATTCCTGGAACAAGTCTCATCCCTGATGTCGAACAGTTCCCCTGTAGCTACCATCTTCGTGGACTTTAAAAGTGCTTTTGACCAACTGTGGTTTGAGGGTTGCTTAGGTAAATTAAGAAGAATTGGTATTTCTAAATCCTTCCTGAATTGGATTGAGGCTTGGCTATTGAACAGAAGAGCCATTATTGAAATTAAAGGAGAAAAATCTAGATGGTTTGCCATTGAACGAGGTGGGCCCCAAGGTTCCATTTTCACTCCAACGCTACTTATTACTTACCACTCCGATCTTACAGACTTCCTTAATATATGCTCTAGCTTTCTGTTCGCTGATGACCTGGCAGCAGTAATAGGTGGGAAAATAGGGGCTAATTTTACTCGTCAATGTATAGATCTGGAAAAAAGATTGAAAGTATTTTTAGATAATCTAGAATTCTACTCTGTTCTTACAGTTCAGCCCATTAATCTAACTAAAACAGAAGCTCTCTGGTCTACTACGGAGATGTAAAAATTAGATGGGTCAAGGAGTTTAAATATCTGGGGTATTGGATTACACCTAAGTTAGGCTTGGGTACTTTGATCAATTATACTGTAGTGAAGATTAGACAGAGAGTGTTCCTAGTTAACTCATTTCGTATCACAGGTAGTACGTGTCCATCATTAAGAAAAACGTTGTTTCAGTCATGTGTACTTCCATTATTTACATGGTTGTTTGCTCTTTTCCCCCTTTTTACATACAAACAACAAAATGATCAATCCCATTTCTATTATATTTCTCTTAGAAGAATCTTTTATTGCCTTCACTGGCCTGATCATTTCGTTGCTTATGTTTTCGATGAAATTCCTTTAGAAGATAGATGCAGTAAATATTGGGATCATTATCTAACTGCACTATCAGATTCAGTCGATGGCGAGCTACTATTCGAGCAGGCGAATTTCAACCAATTTAGAATAGCCTGGTTGCTTAAAGAGTTCCCAATTAAGGGTCTCCATCGGTCTAAGAGATATGTACAACATACATCTATTTTGGAAAAATGTTTACAGTGGTGTTCTTCTAATCATTCTTCCCATTCTCTCATAGACTACGACATAGGTGATATTCATACTCTAGTGGAATTTCCAGAGTCCTTTTGACACCTTTCTGTAGGTTTGTTCTTCACATATCGTATAATCCGTGTTCATGACTATGTTCTCGTTTATCATGTGATATTTTTTGTCTTATTATTATTTTATATATCTTTTTCTTCTTCTCTCTCTCTCTTTGTCTTACTTTCATTCTTGTTCTCCTCTTGATACTATTTGTACTGCTAGGGTCTTAAGACCGTCAGTTAAAAGCAAAAATAAAAAAAAAGAATACATAAAATTCGTCTAATAATTAATTTTTTCTCAGACAAAATTAATGACGAGTAATAATGTATTGATTTGCCACTAACGTCATATGATCAACATAAAAGAAGGCGTGAACTGATCATGTCATAGCTTAGAGAAATAATCAAATATCAGTGATCATGAGCCTATTGAAAAACAAATAATTTCTCTGACAATCAATTATCCATAGAAAAGAACTATTTTCTGCTGGAGATTTTTTACTGGATGTATTTTTTATTAGTGTAAGTTTAAAATTAATTTCATTTAAAAAAAAATTTCATTTGAAAATGAAAACATTAATGTTCGAAATTCGAGTATGTTTTTTTTTGTCGAAAAATTTTACTTATCAGGTGTCTTACATTCAAGAGACTTGCTTTGTAATTTATTTGATAAATATTTCACTTATGTAAAGGTGTGTCGGTCTTTTATTTCCACCCGTAAGATATAACCTATTGAACATTCTTTTTGTAAACGAACATAATGAAAATAATCATTTACAAGTAATAGTAATCCTAATTTTTCTATTGAAATAATTTATTTTATTTATTGTAATTTGATTAAAATTTTCTGTTAGAAAAGCAACGTGAAAGAATTAATTTTAGAATTAATCAATGTTGATCAACACCTATGAATTTATTTGAAATTTACATCTTATCAAATAGCCATTGGTCATTTAAATCATATTTATCGACGATAGCTTGCAATCTGTGCGAAACATTTCATTTCCTTCTTCAAAAGGGAAACAAACAGATGTTTGTTGGAGATAATTACAGAATAGTCAACAAATATTATTTATACTCAAAAAGTAAATAATGAACTGAAATAATTTTCAGCTTTTCTTTTGACTTTTATTTCATGAACATAACACAATGTATTCGTCATGTTATATAAGTTTATAGAAAAAAAATAAAAAAAAAACGAATACGTCAACTGATACTTGAAAAAGACAATGAGATAAACAAACAGTTATGATCATGCACTTCCTCTGATTAGAACAAAAAAAAAAAGGTAAAATAGAAGAATGGTGATATTCAATTGTTTTTTTTTCTCTTTGTTTAAAAAAATGATGTGATGAAAATTATTACCATTCTGATATTGTCTATGGAGTGGATGTTAAATTTTTTTTTTCTTCTCGCTTTATTACAAGAGAAAGAAAGAAACAAAAGGTGATGCTCATTATCAAGTCATCAGAGATATGTTATATGTATACAGGTAAATGTAAAGGCTGCATTCAATAGCACACCTTCTAAAAAGCTGCTCTTTTATTCTTTTTTTGACTCATCGAATTTTGTCATTCGACGACATTTTTCATTGATAATTCTGCTTGTTCTCATGCAAAAGTCTATTACATCAGAACAAATATTAAAATAACTGCTTCAGTCAAATAGAAGTTCTCATGCATATATCAAATTGTAGAGTATACTATTTACTGCAAGTATTTCTATTGGTAAGAGATTTGAAAAAACAAATCTATTAATGTTAATTAAAATTTATATCTATGCAGGTAATCAAATGTATCAATGGTCAAATAATAAATTTTTCACCAAATTCAAACAGTGTTGAGTCTCTTTCAATAGAAACAACAACTTTTATGTCGAATTATATATATAATTCTACTGATGGTAGGTAATATTTATGTTTAAACCTCTGGTTTTCTTTTCTTTTTTTTTTTTGAAGAATATTTTAAATTCTTTTTTAGATAACAATGAAGAAAGAACGAATAACATGTTAATTAATAGTAAATCTAATATGACTGATGATAGTAATCCAACATCTTCAGATACATCGGCTAATGAAACTATGATGGTTACTGAATCTGTTACATTTGTCAGTACTGAAACATATACAATAACTCCTTGTGAATATATAATTTATTTATAAAAGATAAAAATCTTCATGTAATTCTTTATTTGGGTTTTTCTTTCTAGTGATGGCTTGTAAGCTTAATGTATCGAATGGTTTTACTGTTAAAGTTCGAACTTCATCTATGTTTACAGCTCTTATTATTTATAATTGTTCATCGATAAATTCATCTGAATTATTTGTATTTGTCAATGGATTAGATGCAAATAATTGTATTGTTACTGAAGATATTTCAGATAATATGAATTATACTACTGTTAATGTTACTTGTGATAATATTATGAATAATGCTGGTCGAGATTGGACATTTAATATGGGTCAAAAATTCTCTGATAGTCAAACTATTTTCAATGAAATATTTATCGTCACATTAGTACCTTTATCTCTTAATGGATCTACAAGTATTGATGTAACAATTAGTGAAGATTTAACATCAGCATTAATCTTTATACCGAATTGCACAGATATATGTGATGTAGCGTATCTTATGGTTCATTGTAATGATTCTGATCTATCAAATCAAACTCTTTTAAATAGTTGCACACATACATGTTCTAATATTCAACCGGGTTCAATTTATAATTTCTCATTAGTTCGATTACCTATTCGTATAGTAGATAAAATAGAAGATGAACATGACAATGAATTTCAAGAAGAAATTCTTTATAGAGAATATCAAACAAGTAGTGTTAAAAAATTAAAATTTCTTTCTTTTATTTCTCCGAATTTCTTATCATTTAAGATCTTGATAAAGTATCAAATTTCAAGTTTGAAAATGATTACCACGATAACAAAACAGCATGGATTTATTTTAACCGTCCTCGTGGAAATTTCCATAAAATCTATTTAAATTGTTCTATACAAGATCAACGTTGTTCAAATGATAGAATTATATTAACGAATGAAACTGACAATTGTTCAAATTGTAATTTTATTACGATTTCTCCTATAACAAGAGGAGTTTCATACCAATGTCATGCAATAACTATCAAAGAAAATTTCCTAAATGTAATATCTGATAAATTCAATTTCGTTACTGGTAAATGAATATGATCATAATCATCATTAATTGTGTTGTTTCTTTTTTTCATATTTTGATTCTTTTCTTTTTAATTTTAGATCTTGAACCAGTAATTAATGAAGATGATAAAGAAATATGGGTCTACAATACAACTAGATTCAGTTATAATTTAACTACCAAAAGTGATTTTGATCATCTTGAATCAATTTGTATTCCTGCAAATAATCAATATCCATGTGAAACATTAACAGAAAAACATGATAAATGTGTAACAATACTTGAAAATGACGGTGTTTATGGATGTGATTATCATTGTTCGTTTATTACTAAAAAATTGAACTATACTAATAATTATTCGAAAAACTATACAGTAGTTATTTGTAAGAATATGAAGATTTATATATGAAATATTTCTTATTGTAATTGTTTTAGTTCCTCCAATGCCAATTTTAAGTCAAGATGAAATAACATCTCGATCGATAACAATTAAATGGAAAATAAGTCAACCAACACATTTTGAATCTTTTGAAGTAATTCGAAATCTAACTGATAGTGTTTTCCCAAATAAAACAACATTTTCATATACATGGAAAGAACTTTTACCTAATCGAGGGTAAATTTTTATTTTTCTTTAATTAATATTTGTTTTTGTTTATATGTAGATATAAATTTCGTGTACTAATTTATTCACCTCGTATAACACGTTCAGAAGCCTTATTTGTAAATACATCCGAGGAAGGTAAACACATTTATTAATGATTTTTATTATATTTGTTTTTGTTGTTTTTATTCAGCACCCGGAATACCAAATAGCACTGACATATTAAATAAAATCATTCTACTCAATGATCATTCACAATCACAAAGTGAACAATATGTCATTGAAATAGATCCATCATTATTTTCAAATGAATATGGAATCATAAAGCGTTATTTGATTTATGTACGTCAAAGTAAGCTATTAATTATATATTATTATTAATATATTATTATTATTATATTTTATTATCTAGATCTAAATAAGAATACATCGATGCCAAGTTTAATTGGATCATATTATGCTGCTTTAAACAATAATTCAATTGATTATTTGGCTCTTAATATTCCAATATCACCTTCAGATAATTCTTGTAAATATTTAGTAGCAACATCTTATTCTTATGTACAATCATTAATAATCGACTTTTTTTTTGTGGAACTCACATTTATTTTCGAAGAAAAAAGTAGGATAATAAACGTCAGACATCCTCCAACGGATAAATGTAATCATTTCAATGTGAAAATCTTCAAGATAATATTATTTTAAGTAAAACTCATTTTTGAAAAACAGAAAAGATTATTGAATTATGAGCAACTCGATGTGATTGATCTATAAACTGAGTCTATCGACAGAATTCTTTATTGTCGGAGAAACCAGTTTATGAAAACCTAAGAAGATTTCTTATAATTATATTCGAAATCAGTAGGATCGATAGCCTACAATACATTGACTTTCAGTGAGAAAGCAATTGAACAATTGAAAATGTTCTCTTATGATCTTATCAAAATATACAGTGGATACCAAAATTATTCAAAAAGGTTTATTTTCAATTTTTTTCTCGCTGTCGTAAGCGCTAGAAGGTACCTAACTAGAAATTTGAATAAAGAAAATTGTCTCCAACCGGAATATAAGAAAATAAAAGTTAATTATATATGTTCCCAAAGATAGAGACTCCAGGAAAGCAAGATCGTAGGTTTTAAGCATCTAGACCGCATAAATATAATTTTGTTTAAACTATATGATAATACGTCTCCGACTTTTCTAACGTCTTTTAGTTGAGATCAGCAACTTTACGAAAATCTCTACAATACCTTTTTTTTACCATTTTTCTGATCTTCAATCAAATTATTGTATCTCAGTCAAAAATCATTGCAAAGAACTTCGAGTTACCTAATTTTGTAGATAATTATCTATTCTATCGTTCTATGTAATCTAAGCAAAATTATACTCAATCGCTCTAGGTGTAGAATAATTAGGATTTTGATTTTCTTATATTCTTGTTGGAAATCATTATCTCTATTCGAATCACTATGTGGATTTTTTTCTAACGCTTACGGCACTCGAAACAAATTGAAAACAACGAGCGAATATTAACAAGACAAACAATAAATAGAACATCAATAAAAAAAAAAAAGTTTCTGTTTGAAATTCAGACCGATCGGTTATCCTTGGAAAACAACAAAAGTCTGCAAGGGATTTTTCATTTAATGTATTTTGTATTAATATAATCAGACTAAAGATCATATGTGTGAGTTCCACATTTTAGCCGTGAAGAATTTGCATTAATAATTTTTGTTTTAATTTTTCTGCTAGTGTAGTTCTAAAAAGTGATGGTAAACTTCGTTTAATACTTGGTAATGACACATGTCAAAATAATTCTAATGCAAATATTCCTTGTAATGAAAAATTAAAAGCAGATACTAATTACAAGTAAAGTTTATTTATTCATATTTGAAATTATTTTATATCATTATGATTAATAATAGAATTATTCTCAGTGCTTGTACAGCAGCAGCTGGTTGTACATCTGTACTTTCAAATTCATTTCGTACGAAGAGTAAGGAATTTTAATAATCAATACTTTTATTTGGTTCAAAATATCTTTTATTTAGTCCAAAATCAATTACCAGAATCATCAAAATCAATCGTATGGTTTATTGTAATTCCTATTTTGGTTGTATTGATTATTGCAGTTTTAATTACATTGAGTCGAAAACATATTAAAAATTGGTGTACTGACGAAGATAATATAGATGAAAAGTAATTTGATTAGAAATGAAAAATTCTTTCAAAGTAATTCTAACTGATGTTTTTTTTTGTAGGTCATTGAGTGATTCTGAGTAAGAAAAAGAAATTCATATTTTTATCATGTGAATTCTTTTATTTTTCTTTTAGTGGGAAATCAATTCAATTACGTTCTCTCTTTAGACCGATTAGGTTAATTAAAAATTTTTTAATATGAAATATTTATTTTTTATATTATTTAGACCAAAACCACTTGTTGAATATTTAAACATAGATCGACAAGATGAAAACAAAATATATGATGAATTTAAAGTCAGTTAAAATATTTCTTTTTTTGTATTTATATTTTCATTATTTGATCAAAATTAGGAATTAGAAAAAATTTCCCCTCACTCTCATCAATCAGATAGTGATCCTAATTTTGCTGCTTATGATCGTTACAGAAATATTCCAGCTCGTGGATCATGTATGAACAGATATTTTATAAAAACGGAAGACTCTTTTAAGTTTATTTTTTCATTTATTATCATAGGGGAACAAACAGCAGTTTATTTAACAGGTGAACATCGTCTTCATGATTATATTAATGCAAATGAAATCACAGTAATTTATTTAAATAAATATATCGAATAAATTTTCTTTTTTGATCTTATAGAGTTTTGATAGAAAAAGAAAATATATTGCATGTCAAGGTCCATTACAAGAGACATGTGAAGATTTTTGGGAAATGATTATTCAATATAGAGTACCGAAAATTGTTATGTTAACAAGAACGGAAGAACGACATCAGGCACGTAAATAACTATTTTCTAAACAGAATATTTTCGCTACAAAAATAAAACTCTTGTCTGTATTCTTCTTAATTCTTTACTATCTCACAGTAGTTTCACAAGAATTACTGATAAAATAAATGCAATGTTGATTTCTATAATATACCAAGATAACTCTATGTAGTCCAATACGATTAGAGAGAGAAAGAGAAAAAATTTCTCTTGTCTATTTCTTTAGAATAAATATCGAAAAAATATACACAAGAAAAATGTTTTAATTTTTGTCTTCATAAAGAATGAAACTAATTTTTTCTCTGTCTTAAATAACATCAAACAAAAACTATGATTCTATGCCTGATTTACTTTTTGTAATGATCATTTGAATGATTGCTATATAGAAGATAAATGATTAATAGAAATAGCCTAATGTCCGCGCCAAAATAAAAGAGGGGTGAGTGTAAGCTCAATAACTCGACAACCGTAATACCTAGCTACCTGCGGTTTTCACCAATCGAAAGAGGAGGAGCGGGCACGTCTTTTTCTTCGATAATGTATAAGACGAAATTCTTTTAAAACTAATGATATTTGAAAAACATGCAAAACAACTCATGAAAATGACCTGTCAGCTAGATGAAATTTTG